AGCAAAAACGAATAGTTAAATTTTAAAATTATTACTTATCTTTTTTCCTTTTTTTAAAATATATATTTCAATTATTTTTAAATTATTTTGTCTAAAACCGAAAAAAAAAAAGTATTCGTATTTTAGCTATTATTATAGCTTAATCTATTTGTTATGATAATGTTTATTAATAGATTTTGCAAGGTGTGTAAACAAGGAAAAAATTTTTCAAATTTTCTTTTTATGCAAATGACTAATAATTAATTTTTCAGTGTTATTTAATGAATAAATAAAAATGATTAAATGATAATGATAAAAGTTAATTTATTTTAAAATTTTCTTCTTTTTTTTTTATTTTTAAATGGTATTTATCATTCAGAAGGAGCAAAAAAAAAATTGTAAAAATGAATTTTTTGCAAAAGTTATTGATTTTTTTTTTTTTTCTTTTTGAATAATTAAAAGAAATGTGAAAAATGTAAACAAATCATCAATTATTATATATTATAAAAGATTTAATAGAAAAACAAAATGATTTATTCTGAAATTTTAATGATTTAAATGGGATTTTTTAAATTAATTATTAATATATAAATAATTTATTTATTAAATGTTGTAATTAATAATTTGAAAATAATTTCCATCTTATTTACTACTATCATTGAAAGTTTTCTAGTAAATTCAAATGTGCACTGCTAAAACTTGAAATGTGAATTTGATTTTGTTTATAATTAAAAGTTTTTAATAAAAGTATCTTTTAGAATATTTAATAGTTTATTTTAAATTATTAAAATTGATTGTAAATGCAAACATAATAATCAAATATCACTTCTGATATTATTATTTTTATTATTATTATTGTCATTATTATTGTTATTTTATTATTATTATTATTATTATTATTATTATTATTATTATTATTATTATTATTATTATTATTGTCATTATTACTATTATTATTATAAAACTTTAAAAAAAAAACAAGAAAGTAATAATGACGATGGAAATGATTAAAATATTAATTTAATCCTTTTCAAAATAAATTAATTAAAACATTAAAATAGTTTATATGAAAAATAGAAATGATATATGTTAATTGAATTAATAATTAATAATTTATATGTCAATAATTTGCAGAAAAGAATTGTTGTAACATTTACTACTCAAAATTTTGTTTTAATTATTAAATTTAATGTAGTAAAAATTTCAAAAATTTTTCAAATTTTCACTAGCAACATTAGCAATAGTAATTTGTAAAATTATTTATCTAAAGTAATTAGAAGAAGAATATAATAATAATATATTTGAAAGAAAAAATCAACAAAGAATAGTAGATGGAAAGTAGTTAAAGAGTAAAAATAAATGTGAAAAAGTTTGAAATTTAAATCACTTAGATTGATTATAAATCACTACGCAAATATTTCACATTTTTTTTTCGTTTTAAGAGAGAGAAAGAAAAAAAACAAAAAGCAAAGTTAAAAGCAAACATTTAAAAGATTTTTTATTTTTTTTTTTTAAATTTGTTTATTACAATTTTAGCAATACTATCACAAAGTAATAATGGCGCAATTTGAACAGAGCAAATTTTTATCCTTCAGTTGATGTTATACATTCTTTCTACTTTTTTCTTGCTAATGAAAAAAAGAAATTAAATTCAATGTTTTTTTTTTTTTTTTTTTTTTAAATTCGAGAAATAATGCAATTTACTTTCGTAGAAAGTTGAATGATTGTTTAACATTCACACATTTTGTATTCGAATACAATTATGCTAAAGTTAATTGAAAGTAAGTAAATAGGTAAGTAAGTAAGTAAGTAAGTAAGAAGGTACGAAAAAAGCAAAAGTTTAACAAATTTTCTATGCCTTTCGTATCTGAATATTTAACAAATAATAAAACGAAGTTTTTTTTTGAATATGCAATAATTAGACTATTCAAAAATGAATTTGTAAAATTTATGATCGAAATAATTTTGGCAAATTCTAGGCTCTGAAATTAATGCTTCCGGAATGAAGTAAATTCAAAAAAAAAAAACCATTTTATGTTTCTCGTTATAATTGAAATTGAAATTATTTTATGTTGATCATTGCTCTTTTAATTTGTAAGCAAATTTAGGCAAATTTAATCATCTTTCCGCATATATTTGTTGATAACAAATTATTTTCCGTCTTTATTTTCATATTTAATTTTTTTTTTTTTTTTTGTTAAATTTTGCATGTGCTAATGGCCAGTAATTAAGTTTACTAACATATCTAAAAAGCAGCGCGTAATACATTTTACGCTTACGCATCCGTTCTACATTTATTCCTTTCCGCATCACATGTTCATGCCGCGTTCCGCACGCATTCGTTCTACCTTTTTTCATACAAATTGTGAAAATATGGATGAAACAAATGATTTCATCTGTGTGTGTGTGTGTGTGTGTGTGTGTATGTGTGTGTGGTCGAGAAGAAATTGTCGAAATGAATAATTTTAAAAGTGAAAAAGAAATGGAGCGGAAAAGATAAGCGCAAGAAAAAAATAGTACGGAGAACAAAACAAAAAAGAAAGAAAGAAAAGAAAGATTTTTGATAAAATTAAAAAAAGTTTTTTTTTTTTTTTATGACTAACTGATAGAAAAATGAGAAATAATAAAAGAATCGATGAGCAAAGAGTATTACTTCACAACTTATTTTAGCAGTTGGAAAAAGAAAAGAAAATTAAAAGTAAGAGAAAGAGAGAGAGAGGGAGAGAGAAGGTAAGACAGAGGGAGAGAGAGAGAGAGAGAGAGGGAGGGAGGGAGGATGAATTGTGAATTGTGAAAAGGAAGCGTTTGTTGTTAGAATTGGAAGACGGATGTTTGTATTAGCAAATTTATTATATACATTAATATCTATTGATGTTTCATTTGGTGGGAAAGTAGAAGGAGGGATTTTCTCTACTAATTTTAATGAAATTTAAAAGCATAAAATTATTTTATTAAATAAGCGGAAAGATAAAAGAATTTAAAATTTAATATTCTTTTTGCTTTTTTTTTCTTTTTTGAAAATTAATGACGAAGTATTGTTGCAGTGAATATATTAAATTTAATATAATCAATTATAAATTTCATCATTTAATAATTAATTTATACATTTTGTAATCAATTATGGAATTTAAATTCATAATGAATTATATGTTTTAATTTTTTTTTTTGTTTCAAAAAATAGAAAAGTTTTTTTTTTTTGAATATTTCAAAATGAAATTCAAACTTTTTTCTTTGCGAAATATTATAATAAGTCTGGGACGAAAATTTTTAATGTTCTGTTGTAAATAATTGGTGTTATCAAATGGAAAAAATTTTTTGTAAAAAAAAAAAAAAAAGAGAAATATCTAAAATATATATATGAAAGATACTAACTAAATGATAGTTAATTGATTATCAAATTTTAAAAAATTTTATGAGGAAAGTTTGGAAATTTAATTTTTTTTTATATTTTAAAAGATTCGAGAAGAATATGAGAAATAGTTTGAGCAATTAATTCATCGCTTTTTGCTTAAAAGAAATTATATTTTTTCACATTTTTTAAATTAATAAATTTTTAGGCCAATTTAGAATGAATAATAAATGAATTAAAGTATTTGAAATTTGAAAGAATTCAAAAACTTTAATGCATTTCTGATTTTAATAGTTTTCGTAAAAATTCACTTTATGATAGGTTAGTAGTGAGAAAGTGATTCACGTACGTGTAGTATACGTGTAGTATAATGTAAAGTATAACATTTCAGACTGTATAAACACGTATTTGATACAAAATACGGCTAAAAATAGAAAAGTAAATGTCTTATCAGAAAGATTTTGATAAATTTTTGCTTATTTATTTTACCTGAAATTTGAGTTAAATAACTTTTATCATTAATGATTTTTAAATTGTCTAATAGAAACTAAATTAATAGCTAAAATAAGATTATAAACAATGAAAATATTGAAAAAGCATATCAAAATGAGCAAAAAAATTTTTGAAAATTCACCACAAATTCCAAAAACAAATTATATTAATAATAAATTATAGCAAATTTCATACAAAAGATTTTAGACTAAAACAAAAATATATAATCAAAAGTTTCTAGAAAGTTTTTTTAAGATCATAATTCATTGAATACAGCGTGTCACAATGAAGAAATCATAAAATAATGTTACTATCAATGGGTATTTCATGATAAGACGAGAATGATAATATGATAAGTTCATCGAGAAAGTAAACTCTCGACTGGAACTCGTCCTCCATTGGAACCCTTTGTCGTCCGAAAATTTAAGATATGAAATAATTCTCCAAACAAACATATGTATATGTCGTCAGATTCACAGCAATTCGATTTCTTTTCTTTTAAGAGAAATATAGATAAACATACAAGGTTAAAGGTCACACCATTTTATATTCCACACTTGTGGTTTTCACTTTTACACTGGAATATTCTACAATAAAATACTTTAGTGTTTACAAGGGAAAAAAAATTTCTACTAACGAAACTTTTATAAAATAAATAAATTTAATTTACAAAAATGCAAAAGAGTTGAATTTGTTAAGCCAATTGCAAAAAAATGATTAAAGTATACCAGTGTATCGTGAATGATTCATCAATTATACGTACGTATGTTTCGCGTGTACGTGTGGTACAGAATTATTTATCATAAATTAACAAAAAAAAAAAAACATTTTTTTTTTTAAATTTATTGATGCTTTTTTTTATATTACTAACAATTTGAATAAACAATAAGCTTATTAAATATGCATTTATTTATTCTAATTATTGAATAAACAATAAGCTTATTAAACTGTTTTTGTTGTTGTTGTTGTTGTTGTTTTCAATAAATTACAATAAACAAACATCTATTCATTATTGAATAAACAATAAGCTTATTAAACTGTTTTTGTCGTTGTTGTTGTTGTTGTTGTTTTCAATAAATTACAATAAACAAACATCTATTCAATATGCATTTATTTATTCTAATTATTTAAATGAAAAATGAAAACAAAAAAGTTTACAATTAATTTATTATTTTCATTTTCAATTAAAAATATTCGGTGAATGTGACCAATCATTCATTTCTTTACATTTCCAATATTGACCTTGATAAAGATATCGTGATGTACCACAACAATGATCAAAACATTTTTTAAACCATATTGGTCGTTCAATTATTTTTTCGCCATTCTCTAACATATCCTGAAAACCTGAAATTATATGACTGTTCCTGAAATTAAACAAGAAGCAATTCATTGAATATATATACATATTTCTCCTTTTGCAATTTCCATCTTTATGATGACGTCGACATGTTACAAAGCTTTTACAAAGCTATACCGAAGTTATACCGGAAGCTATACTGAACGATGGCAATATGTGATTCCGGTAGAATTTTCTAACTTTAACAAATCTGAACTTGAAAAATCAAATGAAATATAATCATGGGTAGGTTAAATTTACTACTTTTAGGATAATTATCCTAGAACAACGATAATTCTAACCTATAACTAGGGTAGATCTAAACATACCTACAATTTAGGCTATTCTTATTTGAATTTTTTCTACCTGTCAAATGAATTTTAGGTGTCACAGCCGCGCGCACTTTGAACCATCTAACAACAAAAAAAGACCTTTTGCGCAATTCAAAGGATAACTTATTTAGAAATTTTTGTTATACATATTTCTTATATTTTATTATAAGTAATACTTAAGTAATACCTATATATTATAACAAATAATGCAGTATTTTTAAAATTAAATTAAGAATGTTTGCTTAAAATTAATCAGTCAAGAATAAAAGAAAAAAAAATGAAAGATATTTAATTTCAAAAAAAATTTACATATTTAATTTCAAAAAAAGCACATTAGGTGATAATAATACATTCAAAGTATAGAAATTTTGCAAAAAATATTTTTACTTTTAATTAAAATGATAAATTTGATTATTTCAAGGACCAAAATTTGTTAAACTTATAAATTCAGTAAAATTTTTGTTATCAGCAAAGCTTAATAAATCAGAAATAACTACTACGATGAATGAGTAATCAGAAACTTTACAAAAGAACAAAAAAATGATATTTAAATTTTTAAAATTAAAAAAAAAAAAAAACCGAATCCTGAAAACCTGGTATTTTTTTGTATCAATACGTTGCTTTTCTTCTAAACGTTTTTTTTCTTCATTTGCCGCATTCCAATTACCATTTTCCATCATACGCATATCCGGTCGAAGTCGAGAATCGGTTGGTGCTACATCATCCTGAAATGTTCCATCTTTTAAAATGAAATTAAATCATTTCATCTAAAAATTTAATTCAATTCAGAAAGAAAGAAAAGTAAATTTCAATTTAATAATGAATTTAAAAATAAAAATAAAAAATAAAAATAAGAAATAATAACTCAAAATATTAGCATAAACATAACATTCGCATTTTCTTTTTTTTTTCAGCTTTTAATATTTTAAAATTTAACTTTTCTGTGTGTCAAATTTTAAAGTTTTTTTTTTTTAAATTTAAAACTAACTTCCGGTTCATTAAGTTCAATTGCTAATGCTGTATAATTGTACATTAATTCGGATTCTTTAGGTTGCACATTTCTTGTCCAAATAATTTGACCATTTTGAAAAAAGCCAAGAAAAAATAGAATTGATAATGCTTTTGAATTTTTTGATTTCAATTAATTTTTAAATCAATTTAAGAATAAAAAAAAAGTAAACAAAATATTTTATAATTAAGAAAATTAAATATTAGATATTTAAAATTAGTTCCATTATTTCTAAATTATAAGCATTACAATCCTTCCCATTTTGTCTTTTTTTTAAAAAAAAAAAAGAAACGCTTTAACATTTAATTTTGATTTTAATAATTTTAAAAATTTGATAGAATATTTTTGAATTGTAAATTTTACTGCTAATGAAAAAAAAAAAAAACGAAAAAAAGAAATCAAATAATTATCTTAAATTTATCATTTCCTTTTACTATAGTGCATTTCTGGCTCCAATCACCACTTAAACAATATAATTCTTTTCCGAATTTGTCATATATTGTTCCGGAAAAAATACGTTCATTATCAGTTGAGAAAAATTTATGTCGAATTAAATTCAATACGCAATTTATGCCATCCGGTTTACTCTGTAATAATAAACATTTTTTAAATAATTCAAATAATTTTTCTTTTTTTCCATTTTCACAATTTTTTTTTTATAATTTGTTGATAATAATTTCACAATTTTATTATAATTTGTTGATAAGAATTCAAAAATTTTTACAAAAATTTTTAGATAATTAATGCTACGCCAAAATATGAATTAATATTTATTTTTAAATTTTAATTACTAAATTATTCAAATGCTATCCATTTTAATCTAACTATTAATAAATGATTTTAACATTTTAACGATCAAAAATTAGCATATTTTGTGATTGAAATCTGAAATCGAAGAATTTAATAAGAACTTAAAATTGCTCTTAGTGCTCTTAAATTATCAAATTGCAATTGCAATATGCTAATAGTAACATTTTTAAATTTTTTTTTAAAAAAAAAGAACCATAATAACACAATTTCCTTCATTGTGCACCGTTATTGGACCAATAATAAAACCTTTTACAAACGTTTTAATATCTTTCATTGTCCAATAAAAAAATGATTTTGTTTCCTGTAAAAAAAGGAAAAAAATTAAATTATCATATGCTAATGATAATATTTATGTAACAATCAAAAAATTACCTTTAAAAAGAAATTAAAATTTTGAAAATTAAAAACTTAAGAAGGATATTTATGTTACAATCAAAAAATCACCTTTAAAAAAAAACTTAAAATTTTGAAAATTATAAACTTAAGAAGGATATTTATGTTACAATCAAAAAATCACTTTTAAAAAAAAATTAAAATTTTGAAAATTAAAAACTTAAGAAGGATATTTATGTAACAATCAAAAAATCACCTTTAAAAAAAAAATTAAAATTTTGAAAATTAAAAACTTAAGAAGGATATTTATGTAACAATCAAAAAATTACCTTTAAAAAAAAATTTAATTTTTGAAAATTAAAAACTTAAGAAGGATATTTATGTAACAATCAAAAAATTACCTTTAAAAAGAAATTAAAATTTTGAAAATTAAAAACTTAAGAAGGATATTTATGTAACAATCAAAAAATTACCTTTAAAAAAAACTTAAAATTTTGAAAATTAAAAACTTAAGAAGGATATTTATGTTACAATCAAAAAAATCACTCTCAAAAAAAAAAAAAAAAATCAAACTTTAAAAAAATTGAAAATTTAAAAAGGAAAAGATTGAAAAGAAAAATGTTGTAAATTATTTGTACCGGAAAAAAAATGCTAGCTGTTCCTTCTGGATAAATTTTCATAATTGTTGCTTGAAATTGTGAATGCACATCGATATCTTCATCTAATATCCAACCATTTCCTTCTGCATGAATTGAACTAATCGGTGGATGATGACTTACCTATTAAATTTTAAATTTGCTAATTTTAAATTGTCAAATATTATTTGTTACTTATAAAAAAAAAAGAAATTATTCGATGAATAAATTACATTGAAAAAAAAAAAATTTATTTTTTACTTTTTAAATTATAACTATGTTAGGTTTATGTAATTGTTACGTTACGAATGTTTGAAAAAAAAAAAAAAAAGGAAAGCAAAGGACTAAAAGGTGGGAAAAGTCGGTAACGTAAGATTAAACGTGGCGTAAGATCAAGTAGAACACGTGGCGGAAGAATAAGTAAGAAATGAATTTACTGTGATGTTACATTAGTAACTTATTGAAATGAAATAATGTTTACGTGAAGGTAAGTTTCAACAAATTATATTATACGTGAAAGAAACTTTTAGAAATTTTGAATCATATTTCTTAAATAAAAAGTTTACAAATAAAATTTCGTTACCAACTCTAAGCTTAAAGTAATTTGCGTTTACTTAGGAGTAAAATTGTTAATAACAATAATTATAAAATATTTATATTAACCAATTAAAAATGATTGAATACAAAAATGGTAGAATTTAGGTGATGCAAAGGGTTAAATAACTTCCCAATATTTAGGTGATGCAAAGGGTTAAATAACTTCCCAATATTTAGGTCATGCAAAAGGTTAAATAACTTCCCAATATTTAGGTCACGCAAAGGGTTAAATAACTTTCCAATATTTAGGTCATGCAAAAGGTTAAATAACTTCTCAATATTTAGGTCATGCAAAGGGTTAAATAACTCCCCAATATTTAGGTGATGTAAAGCGTTAAATAACTTCCCAATATTTAGGTCATGCAAAGGGTTAAATAACTTTCCAATATTTAGGTCATGCAAAAGGTTAAATAACTTCCCAATATTTAGGTCATGCAAAGGGTTAAATAACTTCTCAATATTTAGGTCATGCAAAGGGTTAAATAACTCCCCAATATTTAGGTGATGTAAAGCGTTAAATAACTTCCCAATATTTAGGTCATGCAAAGGGTTAAATAACTTCCCAATATTTAGGTCATGCAAAAGGTTAAATAACTTCCCAATATTTAGGTCATGCAAAGGGTTAAATAACTTCCCAATATTTAGGTCACGCAAAAGGTTAAATAACTTCCCAATATTTAGGTCATGCAAAAGGTTAAATAACTTCCCAATATTAGGTCACGCAAAAGGTCAAACAATATGCTAATTACTTTATTCTCAAACATCTTCTAAAATAAAATAAAATATCATAACCAAAATCAAAAGAAAAAAAATTATGCAAAATTGATAGAAAAATAAAATTCTTTTCTTAAACAGAAAAAAAAAGAAATTTTGTATTATATTTTTTTCATTTTTTTTTTAATATAAATAATTTGAATGACTAATAAAAAAAAGTATTTTAAAATTTGAAATAAAATTTAGGCACAGACCTGTTCCGCAATTGCTCGCCAGCCAAGATCTGCCATTCGATCAAATTCAAATGTTTCACACCATAACGGATTAAACGGTTTGCATGTCCGGAATACCGTATTGCAAAGTGTTGAAATAACAAATGTTGCAACATAAATCATCTCAAAATTTATAAATTTTATTTGATTAATATGTTCTTATCATAGTTTAAACACATATAAATTCCAAAAATATAAAATTAATTTTCAAACTATTAAAAAAAAATGTAAAAGAATAAAGTGTAAAAATTTTTGTCTGCTAAATATTATCATTCATTTCAAATTTCTCTTTAATTTTTATAATAAACAAAAACATTGCATATTTATTTTTTTTTAAAAAAAAAAATTTCCAATATAATTCAGAATTACAATTAGTTTTATAATTTAAATAAATTTACAATATTTTCATTCACAAATATGTATTTGTTATAATTTTTAAACAAAAATTTTCAAAAAAAAAGAAAATTTTTTTTTTAAGAATTTGTAAATTGTTTCCTTTTTTTTTCTTTGCTATTTCAATATGAAATTTAAAAAAAAAAAAGAAAAGAAAATTAAAATTTTTAAAATAGTTTTTACTTGATCTGCGGAATTTTGAATTTTTGCTGCTTTATCAATTAAATTTGAATACTCCAAGCATTCAGTTAAACGTTGTATGAAACTTAATGGTTCATTGAAATTTACTGGCAATGGTATTTTGTATAATTCTTTACCCAATGCATTTTTAAGCAATGACCACAATGACATCTCTGACCAATGACCAATGATTGATTATTAATGATCAAATATATATTTTATGATTTTTTCCATTTTTTTTCTACCCTCTTTATGGGAAAAAAAAAAAAAACTTTATGAATATAATTTTGCATTAATTTAGATGAAATTATAAGAGTAATTCACCAGTTTTTTTCCGCTGCGGTATTTGCGTACGCCTTTTCCGCATACGTTGTTTTGCTCTACAAAAAAAAAAAAAAAATTTTTTTAAATTATAATTATTTGATTTTTATTGCATACATTTTACTTTACTTTCTCTTCCATTTAATTTATTTCATTTCAAAAAATTTTTTTCTAAAATTTTTAATTTAAATCCTTTCCAATTAACATTTTTGTCTTCATTTTAAATTTTTTTCTTATTTGCATTTTTTTAAAAAATAATAATAATAAAATGATAATTTTTAAAAATTTACTGTTTTTTTGTATTAATTGGTTCTTGCTTAAAAAATACCACTGGTGAAGTAAGAAATGGTTTGTATGATTTCATTAAATTTTGTTTTCCTTTAGCTTTGCTATAAATTTTAATAAGAACAAAAAAAAAAAGAAAGATTAAAATAATGATAAAAAAGAATGAAAGAAATTTTTGTTCAAATAAAACTTTAAAAAAAATGTTTTTTAATTTGAATTATTTTGTTAAATAGATCAATGCAAAGTAAACAAATTGTATGTTTCATTATTAAACTTAGCTGAAATTTTTTTTTTTTTAAATCTTAAAATTCTTTATTTTTATTTAATAGAATTTAATTTCATCATTTCATGCAAAAAAAAAAATTAAATTAAAACAAACCTTAGAACTACTGGCATTGCGGATAAAGAAGTTTTTTTCTTAATCTAAAATTTTATTTTATCAAAATATAAAATAACTGTTTAAAATGAATAAATTTTAAAGATT